GGGCTGATGGAGTACAAGGGAGAGGAGCCCAAAAGAGTTTTTAGAAAGACGTTTCCAGTAAAAGTTGGAAAAACTATGAATTATGATGAGGTGCGGCAGGCAGCTTTAAAGAAATGGGAAGATTATGACCGTAAGTTTACTCGTGATCGTGGATATATTCTGGTATATCCAGATGGTAAATTGGCCAATACTACTCCAGGCAGTTCAGAAACGTTTACGGTGTGTAAATATAAAGAAGATCTAGGCAAAGCATATTCACGAATTGCTTTGTATCTTTGCCCAGTGGGTCCATTGAAGGAAAGTAGTGGCGGTGAACTTCCGATATCAAAATATTTTTAAAGTGAATATGAGGTAAATGACGAATATTTGGTATATGATGAAAATAATGAAGTCTTACAGCCTTCAGATGTCCAACTAGGTGCTGTTCAAATTGAAGATGACCATGACGTAATTCAATCATGTTCTATGGAAGATTTTATGTAAGTAGTTTTCTATTGATTAAGCTAAAGTTTTTATTTTACATGTATCAATGTGCTTTTTATTATGTTACATGATAATCCATAATCATGTAAATTATAGTTATTATTGTCATATACTTAAATATATTATTAGTTAAATAGTTAGTGATCTTTGTAAAATGCCTTACTCATACATGCATGTGTATGATAACCACAATAACAGGAAAAGCTTACGTATAGGACGTGGTCAACCTACTGACCACAGACAACTTACAGGACGTGGTTAATCAACTGACCACAGTTTAATCCTACGTCATTGTACAATCACGTATAACCCGAGAATCGAAAGCTGTAGTTATGTTGGTGCTTAGTAAAAGTCCACATCAGAAGAAAGCCTCATGTAAAAGAAAACGAACTATTTACGAAAACAACCAAAGAATCCAGATATATATCCTATCCATCAACAAAAGAGTCACTGAAAGCAGTTGTCTTAGATAAGTTTGAACATTTACACATTCACATTATAACGTTTATATCAAAATTATTAGTATATTAAATAAATATCTTAAGAATTGACAACAACTTCTCCACTAGATTTTACTCCTTTTGTTACGAGCAATTGAACCAAAAGCGGCCATTTTATTATTAGTCGGGACGTTCGTAACAATAAGGCCAATGGGTTTTGATGAGAGCAAAGCTGTTAAGGAGGCCATAAGGAAAAGCTTAGATCAGCATGAATTTTCAGACAGTGGTCAGCATGTTGACAATTCCAATGAAGAAAAACAAAACTTAGATCACAAAACTGTTATGCACCCTATAATAGAACATGCCAAGGCTGAATTTAAAGGAGAGCTTCGGCAATTTGTAATCAGTAGGCTGAATATTTGGGATACAACAGAACCATACTTCAGGCGAAAAGGCTTTTTGAAGCGAAAAGGCTTTTTGAAACGAAAAGGCACACTGAATGTCACGTTTGCTGCTGTTCAAACTGAAGAGGAAGAGGATGCGATTTATAATGGTGGTCCTTGAGAGAGCTTTTCACCCAGGGTGCGAATTAGTTGAGAAAAACGATGTGCAAATTTTTCGACAAAAATTTTTTCCAGAGGCATAATCAAATGATATTACATTAATTATTATACTGTACTATTTACTAAATTAATATGTTTAGAACGTATTATTTTTATAATATTTTATCAACGTATACATATTTACAAGTTATCATGTTATAGTACACGACTAGTCACTTTCTGACGAGTCTTGGTCCGAAAAATAAGCATGTTTGCTGCAGCTTGATGCGTCTAACGTATCGACTTTCTTCTTTTGCTTCTCTGGGTAAGCATGGCCTCCATATCCAATTCTTCGTTTCTTTTGTTCATACTACCGCTCTGTTGCGGTAGCTGGATCATAATCTTTCACTAATGGAACCTTCTCGCTAATTCGTAACAGACTGTCCAATATTTCTCTTGACATTCCGTTACGTAGGTGTGGCTTCATTCTGGCCATTGTTGAGAACATTCGCTCACCAAATTAACTTCCTCACCAAATTAACTTCCTCACCTGGCCAGGACTGGGTGTCTATAATTGGACAAAGGTGTTTGTAAACTGGTGTCTCTTGAAGATCACTAAAGCGATTGCCCAAACAGAGGATAATCGCATCTATCCACTCTTGTCGTTGTCCCGCAGCTCCATTTAGTGCACGGGGATAATTTGTGGGCACAACACCTTGATACGAAATCTGGTTCTTGTCGTCTCCAGTAGGTTTGCAATCCTTCCTAAATTTATCGAAAGTAGCCTTGCCAAACTTACTAGCTTGAAGCTTGACCATAGTCCAGTCAAATTCCTTGATTCTCCTTAAAGCTTTAACTGCATCATTGTCGTCAGTTTGTAGTCCAAGAGACAAAACACGCAAAGGACCAATATGTCCACAAAGATAGAAGCATACATTGGGCAATGAACGTCTTTCCGTTTAGCTAGGGAAGCCTTCTGCTTTTGGGCTTCAGGTGAAGTAGTTGCGGCCTACATAAGAAACAAAAAGTAACATATTACATGATATTAAATAATTTAATAAAAATGCTTATTACTGTTATTACAGGCAAACATTATTCGGGAAAATTTAAGGAGGCGATGCAAATTTGATGGAAAACAGCAAAAGGTGAAAAATTAGCAATTTTTACCTGTTCAATATGCTGCATATACATGCCGTAGTTCTCCAAGAAAACCTTCGTGGCGCGCACTTTGTGATCTATCCACCTTGTCCCACTTGCTTTGATGGGCTTATAGACAGTTTCTCCATACACTTCAGCTAGTTTTTTCAGCTCTCTCAGTTTCTTGGGTGACCTCTTGTACAGAGAAAACAGTTGACGCACTATTTCATCTACTTGTGCAAAAAACGTAGCATTGAATGCGTCGGCAGCAGCTAATTCTAGACGGTGATTGAAGCAGTGGACGACAGTGAGCCAAGGAGCGACTTCTTTTAGACGAGCTGCTAAACCAGTATTTCTCCCTATATTAACACTTGCCCCATCTAGACCAGTTGCAGCTAGTTTTGACTCAAAGTTTGTAATGCCAAAAAGGGCAAAAGCTTCGTTCATAGCTTCCTTCAGCCCTGCAGCATCTTCGTTTTCAACTGTTTCAACCGACATCAATTTGCAAGTACCACGACCGTTCTTACTCACATATAACACGTAAAACAATTCTTGTGATTTTACACTGGTATCGGTGCTGCCATCGCATAAAACTGACAAATATCTAGCATCCTTTAAATCTTCATCAAGATTTCCTTTCATGACAACAGAAATGTGATCTGACAACTCAGCAGCTGATCGGTCTGTTCGATACGATTTGCCTAGATCAACGCCGCACTTCTCCAGGAGCTCGCAAATGGGGATATACTTTTTGAGAGGCAACTCTTCCTTACACACAGTGTAAGTGGCATTAAAGAGAATTCCATCCTTTCGCGATCGGCAACTGCCATTTTGTCGAGTCCTTGCCCAATGGTAGTTTCGTTTAAATATTCTTCAACATATTTCTCATTCAACGCTTCCTTCAAATTTAGCTTAACTGCCATCTTATGTTGATCAGAATTCATATGATTTACCACTGTGTTTTTCTTTACAACAGCTGATCCTGTTATGAGTGTGCGAGAGGAATTTTTTGCGCTTGTTATTCTGTCTTCTTTGTTTGTACAAACTTTACAGCGCAGTGAATTCACCACTTGGCCATCATTCTCGTATTAAAGCTAGTCGGCATTTAATGTTTCTATCAATTTTTTTACTGTGTTAATTATGCTAGTACAACTTTTCGACGAAGAAGCCATCATGGCAAGAAAAACAAAATCGAGAAGAGAAACATGCACCGAATATAGCTACTTTTGTCTTCTGATTATCTAATATGTTTTATTGATGTTTACTTATAACAAAAAATATTTTTGTCATATCACAAACAATGCGTAAAAGCAAAAAGTACGGTTAATGAAGGTTGCCAGTTTGGGTTTTTGTTCTAACGTTTCGCTCCCAAAAATCTTCTTGGCTTATTTTTCAAATTTGAAAATTTTAAAGGTTTTTAGGAATCAGAAGGAAAATGTCTCCTGATTTTATCGAAAACACTCAAAATAGCTATGATGACAAAAAAAGTAACGATGTACAAACTACAAAACAACGCAATGCAAAAATTAATATTTATATATGTATTACATCCATATATGGTCAGAAGAGCCATGTATGTCGACCAGTATGTCGACTGTTGACAGACTTTCCAGTCTCAAAGTGACGACGTTATTGAATTTGATGACATTGTGTCAACATGGCCAATTACATGGCCTAAGATTTTAAAAACGTTTTCTTTCAATATATGTGATAGTAATTAATGAAAAACTTTTTGCACATCGTTTGAAAAGTGACGTGCAATTATGTTCATTTTAGCCAAAATGATGTGCAAATTGCATATTGCACACCGCTAATTCGCACCCTGTTTTCACCTACTTATCGGATCAATCATCAAAGACAGCAAATGTATTTTAGGTAAGGCTATTGTAGGTAAATGTGAAAATCATGTGACATCTAAAGATGCATTTATTTTATTTTGTCATAACAGGTACGTTGGTTGGCAATGATATCAGATGTAATGTTATGGCTTTTCAAAATAGAAACTTTGAAATTGTTGGACGCATGTTTGCCACAATGATTCTTCAAGGTGGTGAACAGTACAGTTTGTAAATATCAAAGTACAGTTATCAAAGTTCTGATATTTAAATATGATACAACTTACCGTGTTCTTTCAAGAACACCGTGTTACTTAGATTCGTGTTCTTTCAAGTACAGTTTGCAAATATCAAAGTACAGTTATCAAAGTTCTGATATTTAAATATGATACAACTTACCGTGTTCTTTCAAGAACACCGTGTTACTTAGATTCGTGTTCTTTCAAGTACAGTTTGCAAATATCAAAGTACAGTTATCAAAGTTCTGATATTTAAATATGATACAACTTACCGTGTTCTTTCAAGAACACCGTGTTACTTAGATTCGTGTTCTTTCAAGTACAGTTTGCAAATACATTGAAGGTGGACTCATAGAACCAAAGTTAGAATAAGTGGTTGAAATAACTGTAAGGAAATCTCTTAAAAAGGTAAGTTGTATCATATTTAAATATCATATTTAAAAGTATTCATTTCAGTACTGCAAACTTTTTATATGTTTGAGGTCTTATATCTTCACTTATTTCTTGCAAATCTTTGTCTTTTCAAGCTAATTTTCCCAACACTGCTGAAATGTTTTCTAACTTTTTTACCTTATGTTTGCCATGTTTTACGGAAAATTATTAAATCTTGCATTTCCTAAATATTTAAATAGTGAATTTGCTATAGGAAAAATTTTTATGCCTGTTTTATGTATTTTCAGTTGCAAGAAGCAGACAACCAACAAGATGTAAACAATGCCTTTGCAGAATGTTCAGACTGGCGTGTTGAAATTGATGGTCTACCATCATCTATTAAACTAGAGAATAAAGACCATTTTATGAAAGAAGTCATAGAATACTTTGATGTGATCAAATGCGAGCCGATCCTTGATCAGCTGCTTCATGGGTTGAAATATTACAATGTCAGTGCTGAGTTGTTTATCATCTAAGATAAAAGTCACCAATATCTTGCTCTGTATTCAATTTCAAATCATTTTTTCTATAGACTAGTTTGTTACAATGTGGTTAAGCAAGTAATTGTGTTCACATTGTGGGCACTGTCATGCTTGTTGTCTATATTACACTTTTCACAGTTATTACAAAGTTTGTTAACTAAATAAACTTGAGCATTTTTATTTAGTTTTAACTGAAAAGTTGTTCATGAGCAATCTTGCACAAGCTACGATATCTAGCCAATGCCTGCCTCCAATTTTCTGGTTTTAATAAACCTAATTGTTCTCCAATAGTTTGGAAGTATTCCTGATTAATACTGTATTTTTCATATTCATTACAATATTGCATCATTTCTTGAAGTTGCTCATCAGAAACTGCCTTGAGGTGATCAAATGCCTGTGTACACTCGGGCAGAAAAAATAGTTCATCTGGCCGTACTTCAACTGTGTCAAATCTTGACTTTCGTATATAGTGAGAGTTCCAGTGTCGCATAACAGAGTTGAAATCTTCTTGCAAAAGATCAGAGAAACTATACCACAAGCATTCCTTTTCCATCTCAGAAGATGTGTCCAAGACACCAGTCTCAACAAGATTTTAAAAAAATTTATCCACTAATTACTTCTGTGTTTTCTTAAGAATGACCACCAGGACTCAATGCGCTGATTTGCTGGTGAGGAGCCATATCTATGTGCCTTAACACCAGCCAATTCATCTTCACACATACTTCTTAAATATGCCTGCCTTGCAGATATGATAACGTTTTCAATGCCGTTATCTGTTCATAATAGAGTTGCACAACCCTGATACTTAGTGACAGTGTCTAAGAAATGCTTTCCTGTTACTGCAGGATCTTTTGTTTTGCATACTTTCAACCACAGTATCTTACGACTATATCCGTCGATACATCCATGCACCGGAAAGCCGTATGGTTTGAGCTTATCGTAGCCATCCACATGCCAAACATAGTTTAGCCCAGGAGAATGATAAATTCGTCAACGAAGAGTGCCAGACTTCCTTAAGTTTACCCCTTCTGAGGCCAGTTCTTTCACCAAAAGTCTGACGGTCTCGCGAGGAAGCTGCATCCCTTCTAGTTTCAAGGTATGAGTAATGGAGCGATAACCATTGGAATTTCCACGTCCATCGAGTTCCTGCCGAATACACTGGCGAACACTGTTAAATCAAACAATGTTTTTTCCTCGAAGTCTTGAGTGTAAAGTACGTAAAGACATATTAATATCATGATATCGTCTTAAGAGAAGCAGGTTTTTTTCATATGCAAAACCTTGCATAAAATAGTTCTTAATTACATCGCCTTTAGGAGCTTCTGCGTTGTCTTTCATTTTAGTTTGTGGTACTTGGTATTCAATTTTAATTTACAAGGCAATAAACAAAATACTTTTATTGTCACACCCGGTTAAGATTTCTTGTTCCTAGTCTCCTGTAGATATGACCGGTAGGCTTTCATATTGAACTTTGATTTGGCATTGCGATAACTGGTTTCGTGCATTTGGTCAGCTTTATTTTGCATTGCAATATTCAATTTGTTTATAACTTTTAATTTGTTTTGCATTCAGCACATTATTTTTGTATCAAATACATTGTTTTTGAATATAAGAGCATGTTTGTGCATTGACAAATTAATTTATGAATTGCAGATAAGGGCCACTGTAGTTAGCCATAGATAATGCAAAAACAAATCACATATCATTCAGCAGGTGGCCGTCGCCAGCTAAAATTTATCGAAAAATCCACCCTTTCCTCCCTCCCTTTCTCTCTGTTGATTTTGCATGTACTATTTAGACTTGTTTCCGGGGTGGCGTTTTTATCACCTCACCTTTTCTGTGCTATACAGAAAAACTTTATTCGCAAAGATTTTTTTTTAAAGTGGTTCTATGACGAAAACTTAACGTTAAAAAATCATCGATTTTAGCATTCAATAGTTTAAGCACATATCAATTATTGCTTTCGTAAAATGTAAGCAAAAACAATAATATAACGAGGGAGTTATGAACATTTGAAATGTCTAATTTTCATGTCCGCCATTAAAATCGGCCATTTTGAATATTTGCAATCAGCAAAGTGTGTGACGTCATAGTCTTAACACGGCAAGGAGCGCACATTGGAAATATACAAAGTTATACATAAATAGAGCAAAAAAATGTCAAATTCATCGAGATCTAGCTCGCTCTCTGAGTCTTCGATCGAGACAAACGAATCGATTTCTTCATCGGAATTTGTGACGGCAAATTCGAACGAATCTAATTCGGAAATTTTGCCATTTCTCGATAATATTGAACCGCTTGCTTCGCCCGATGAAATTGCTGAGTACGAAGCTACAGTCGCAGAAGAACGGCGGGTTGAAGACATGCTGCAAGATCGTTTTGATGCCCGTGTTGATGTTACTTCATGGTAAGATGTCATTCTTAGTGTGTTACTTTGATCTGAATCGTCTGCCGTTAGCTATGATAACTTTATGGAAACATACAATTTGGCCAATATTAAAGGTGTGAATGTGGCCATTGTTCGTTGGATCTTGTTGTCAACCCTCAAGAGTGCCAATGCTGCATGGAAATAAAGCAATGCCGTGGTAAAATGTATCAGTTCGAAATCGATGAAAGGAAATGCATTTTGGATCACCCTGGTTTTAACGAAGTTTGCCTGAACGAATTTGTTCTTCAAGCAGCTTCGTTAGGTTTAAAGACCAAAGGTCATCGCATGATACAGACACTTCATTTTGTATTTCCTTTAAAACCTTAGTATAAATATATATTATATATTGAAAGTTTGCCTGGATGTATTATTGGTTCTCTCAAATTGTGAAAATTTATCATCTGCAATATGTGTAAGTATATAATAATTGCAACTTGTGCTAACCTGACGCCGCTCTCTTGACGTTGTTGGTGTTTGTGATTTCTTCCAAATAGTAGGCACGGCACCAGGTTTGAGCCGTCTAGTCATACCACCCAAATGGAATAAACGCTCAAAACAATCATCGGAGAAGTGATTCGAACAAATCATAAATTGAATTTCACGCAAACTCTGATTAAAGTTTGTGCGCTTCGTCTGAACAAATTTAACCCAAATTCTTCTCAAAGACTCGTCGTTTAGGCTTTTATGTAATGAAATGCCTGTACTTCTATCAGACTTATTACTGCAATCTTGCACGACACAGCGTGTTGAAGGCATGTTAAAAAAATTGAGTTATACAACCTTTTAAATCTCTATTTGTATATTGTGTTATATTGTAAACAGCCGCGAGTTAAGACTATGACGTCACAAGCACCTTCCTTCTTGAAAATTCAAATATGGCGCATTTTAATGGCGGCTCTTAAAGTTCAAGTTTTATCACTACGTAACTCGAGCAGCATGAAATACATTGCGCTAAAATTTCGCCAGAAGAGATTTTTTTACATACACTATTAATCTATGAAAAAAAACGAGAGGCAAAATTTTCTTCATAGTACCACTTTAAATTGTGTAAAATAATTAATTTAGATTATATTATACTTGTTATTTCTATTTTAATAAACCGGCATGTGCTTTCACACATTGCCAATTTTTATCCAAAAGAGTACTCTTTAATGTTATGCGCACAGAAAACAGAGCTCATCAGCCCAAGAACCTCTTTTGATTCTCGATTTGTTATAATTAAGCGGAAGCGATAAATCATATTCGTTAAACATACGAGACTTTGTGTTGTAAATTTCATGAGACTTTTTGCAGATCGATACCGGAGAGGCAGGTAATTTGCGAAAAGTTGCACCTCCGAAGGGATTGAAGCGTTTGTAAGGAAATCTGACTATATTCGAACCAAGTTGTTGACAGAAATGGCAGACAGCAATGTGATAGTGACTTTCGGCGTCAAATTAAAACAACTTCAAATGACATGAAAGAGAACTGATTCGGTGATTAGTTCCAACAAAGATTCTGCAATCAAACGCCAATTTGAAGCGGTAAAGGCTCTAACAAGCGCGTTAGAAACTTTGAGGCGAAACGTAGAATCTTTAAAATCAACAAGAAGTGAGCGAGGACGAAGTTACAGCAAGGAATATTGGTGTTGAAGACAAGATCGAGAAGGCAGATAACGACGTAAAGCAATTAAAGGAATAGCGAAACAATAACGAATACGAAAAAGAGGGAAATGCGCGTGAGATGCAATTTTGATACGAGTTAAAGCTACACGAAGCTAAACTGAAACTTGATGCTGAACGTCAAGCGAAGGTCACTAAGAAAATTCCTCGAAGGATGCGCACTAAAAACAAGTGGAAGCGAAATTCCAAAGCTCCTAATATCCAAATTCGATGGACACTACATGAATTGGCAGCTATTTTGTGACAGTTCACGGAATCAATCGAGAAATCTGGACAAGCAAGTAAAGCTAAATTTCCGTAAATCTCAAAATCGCATGCCGGCAAGGTTTCTGACTTCAGTGACAAGTTGACATAATGCGTCCAATCATTGCAATCGCTCAAAAGGTTAAACGAAGTGAAGGGTCTTACGATGGTGACCATTGACAAGCTGCCAGCGATACGGGGTGACCTGGTTAGGTCGAATGGTTACTAGGAAACGAGGCACTTGAATCAACTGAGGGAAGCATTACGCCTTTAGCTACGACGTGACCCGGTGGACACCAGTCAAAACTTAAAGAATAATCTAGTCAGGGAACGTAGGGAAAGAGAGAGAGAGTATATCTTATTAACCGAACAGACATACCCTGAGGGTGCGTATATTGCAATAGTAACGATTATAAAGCTGTCGACTGCACGAAAATTACAGCTATAGCTGACAGAAAGCAAGTCATGGTAAAAAAGAAGCTGTGCTTCAAATGCGCCCTTAAGAATCACCACGCTGAACAGTTTGCAAGCAAAACATCGTGTCAAACCTGTCACAAGACACCATACCTCGATATGCAACAAATCACAGACAAGTGAAATGCAAAAGGTGACCTTAACAAAGTAAATGGAATTGTTACTAGAGCACTGATCGATAGAGGAGCGGGCAGCTCATATGTTTGTGCTAAGGTCGGAACTCGGTATAAAACAAAACCTCTAGACGTATCCTCTAAACGCGTTGAGATGTTATGGGTTTTCATCTTACAAGAATGGAAACATACCATTTTGTGATTCAATCTCTTGTCAATTGCTTCTGCATGGATAGAAAGCTTATGAGGATTGACAAAAGCGAACTTCTCACGATAGAAAACCCACAATTGAGAAGTTCTAAGACTGAGTAACCGCACCTGTCCCGAGCAACCCTGATCTATGATGACAACAGGAAACAACTACATATCCACGTGATCCTTAGTGTTGGAGATTATGCCAGAATTAGAACTAACAAGCCACCCTTAGTTGGAATTTCTGGACAACCGGTAGCAGAGCTTACAGAGATAGGTTGGATCATCATTTCCATGGAAAAGTTTAACCGACAAACTTTACTACTCACCAAGTCAAGCCACGTTGACTACTACGAATTGTTTCATCGTTTTTGATTTACACACATGTTTTATTGAAGTCATGAAACTGAAGTCATGTTTTATTTTAATGTTACGCTATATTTCTGCTTGTGCTTCATGACAATTTTTTTTTTATTGTTAAGAAAACTGATCACCACTGTGAAGCAAGTTGCATTGGCACAGATAAATGCAAATTACGAATATGTAAATTAGAAACGACTTGCGATACATCATCTAATTTACATATACCAATTTTAACATCTCAACAATTCGGCATGCATGCATGCAAACGTTATTTTAAAGATAAATGTTTACCACATTTTTGGGAGATCTCTTTGCTTAAGATAATAGAAAATTGTGTTGTATTACACTTAATTTGTACATGAGAAGTAAAAAATAAAATAAAAATTCGGAGGTTATCAGCATAATTTTAATTAAACGTCATAACTAAACAGAATAATATCACAAAACACAAGTTTCCTGCAAGATAAAAATGTCTAGTAAGACAGTATTTAGCTCAGAAAAGCTCGGTCACAAACTCTTTGTTAAAAAACTGCTTAAATAGTTGTTAGTAGTCTAACTCGACAAGTATTCTTAATTTCCTTTGAATTGGAAGTACTTTGTGAGCACCGACTGCAATAAAATATGGATGTCATTAATGTACGAGTACACAATGCGAAAAAAATTTCTACCATCATGCATTGCACTCTCCAGTTTCTTAAAATGCGATCGCGACTCAATGGTGTATTAGCAAAAGTAAACAGTGTGCCCGAATGAAAATCAACTCATACACTCACAGGAAATAACACAATAAAAAATTTATGAACACAAAATGCAATAACTATCGTTGTGATGTATTTCAAAGTCATCCTTTGATCAATAAATGAGTATCAACGTTGTAAAGCTAAAGTATTTTTCAATGTTTTTGAAAAATGAAATAAATTGCACCTTTATTGTTTGCATATCTTGGCTCAAAATATTTAGAAATAGGTTTCCACTTTCCTTGTTTTGTTATTTCCTCTATTTTCCGATGAAATCCATAGACAGGGTCATCGAGTACAAATTCATTAATTGTGAAGAATATTATGCCTCCTTGTTTTACAGAATGAATAAAGTCATCTATTCCTTTCCTTTCACATGACCAGGTGCAAAACACCAACGCATATTACTGCATCGTATTGACCAGCGGTTACTCCCAGTTCAACTGATCCATCTGATCCCATGGCTCCCTTTTTTAGTGATCTGTACTTTGCGGAAATATAAAAATTTAATAAAAGAAATGAAATAAAATTGCTTGAATAATAAATGCAAGAATATATTGAACATAAAACTCGTTGATACATGCTCTGTGCATGTGCTCATTAATATTTTAAAACGTTGACATTAAAATAAAGGATCAATTCAAATGTTGGCTTTTTGTTGATCGTAGGATGGTAAAAAACGCAGTACTTTTATGAAAATCGTTTATCAAAGAAATTACTGATTTAGAACGATTTGTTGTTTGAAATGAAAAGCATTTAAATTTTATTGAACATTTTACAATAACACACAGCAATTGATAATTACAAAAAATTTATCTTTGTACAGAAAATTTTATAATGCTGTATATTATTCATGTACTTTAAACCAAATTTTAACCTGTAAACTCCTTTTGCTTCAGAAAGCTTCAACATTTCTTCACTAAAGTCAATACCATCTACATTTTTATAACCCAGCTTGTAAAGATGTTCACCCACGAGTCCTGTGCCACAACCAAGGTCCAGAATTTCAGTGTCCTGATTGTAGTTATGTTTAATCAGTGTCTCGTGAAGCTGTTCTGCTGCAACCACTGGTCCTTGATAACAATTATCATGAGCAACCTAAAATTACATTTTGTACATGAAAAGTTATGTTGAAACGCTCAAATATTTGCCCATTTTTACTTTTTCAATTTACAAGCTCTCTTTGTGCTATTATATAATTTCAACTTAAACAATGACTTCTTGCATTAAGCGGTAGTCTTATCTTCTTTGCAATAAATTGCTTAATACATAAATCTTAACATTAATCATATTACAGCTTCAACTATATACTCTTTATATACATCTATTAAAGATCTTTTACCAAATTCTAAGGAGCTTTAATATTTTAGGGAGGAGTAATTCATTTTAAAGTGTACGTTCTTTTCTTTTTGAAGTATCTGCTACAAAAGCAAGATTGCAAAAGTCTGGCAAAAATTAACTACGATATATGCTCCTGTTTATTCTAAAAATAGGTATGAAATAAATAATTGTAGCTTGCCTGTCAAGTACATGGTCATCAAATAAAGTCGATAAATAAAGATATTTCAAAGAGCATTAAACATTGAATAAATTTCCATTAAAGTTGTCAACATAAGGAAAATGTTCACTCTAGTCATTCAAAAAAATAATATAATTTTTTACATAGTTTCTCCATAATGCATTTCTCTCGACCAATTACGTTAAGGCAGGTAAAGTTTTCTCAATTTCTTATAAGCCAAAAAAACAGAACGCAACTACTTATACTCTACATTTATTAAAAACAATTACGCTAGAAACTTCATAAACAAAACTATATACAAAATACAAAACAAAACACAAACCGACAAAAGCAACAAAAAACCGGACGAAACAGTAAAATCGTCACATTACCATACATAAACGGAACATCAGAAATGACTGCCAGACTTCTTCGGCCATTTAATATTAACGTCGCCCACAAACCTACACAAAAACTCAAATCATGTTTCACCAAACATAAAGACAAAACTACAATTCATGATACAACTGACGCGATCTACATGATACCATGTAAAGACTGTTCAAAGCAATACATAGGACAAACATCTAAGAAAATTGAAACAAGACTCACAGAACACAAAAACGCCATAGAACGACGAGATCCAAACTCACTATCGGCAGAACATACCCACGGAAACAACCACACATTCGACTGGACAGAAACTAAAGTACTCGGACGTGCACAGACTAAACACGCACGCAAATTTAAAGAAGCTTGGTACAGTAAAGACAACGACACCATAAACAGACATATCGACATACCCATCATATACTCACAACTAAAGAAAAAGGACAAAAAAACTAAAAAAAACACCAAAACTAAAACACTACACTTTAATATCACTAACACCAATCATATTAACAATACACCAAAACCCATGGCAACGCATTTCAACCCATCCAATCACATTAATCCACCCACTAAGAAAGCACATTTAAGAAAGGATCATTTGAATTTCGAGAAAGAGTTGTATGAAACGAAGCTGCACTACAAGATTCAATTGGAAGAGTCCAAGAGGGACAAACCAGAAGAGACAGGAGAAATGAATTCTACAATTAGTGGGAATCTGGAAGCTAAACTACCAAAGCTGGTGATTTCAAAATTTAACTGAAGCTGCAAAAATTGGCCAAGATTCTGGAACCAGTTCAGCCAGACTATTGACAAATCAACTATTTCCAATGTAACAAAATTTTCATACTTGAGAGGGTTGCTTGAAAAACATGTCAAGTATTCCATAGAAGCACTACTTTTCACTAGTGAAGGGTATAACCGAGCAAAAAGTACACTTCAGTCTAAGTATGGAAAGGAGTCAGAAGTGATTAAAGCCTACACCAAAGAAATTCTTGACTTACCCAATATACCAGATGCCAATGTACAGAAGGTGCATAAATTCTGCAAAGGACTCACTTATTGCGTACAGTCTTTAGAAACTATGGGAAAACTGGAGCAGATCAATGGAAGTGTTGCAATGACATTGGACAAATTGTCTGGTATAAGAAGCGACTTGGTTCGTACAGATCCCAACTGGGATGAATGGGATTATATTAAGCTAATAGAAGCCTTAACATTGTGGACTAGGCGAAACCCTATATGTGAAGGAGAAAAGAAAGAAAATCGGAACCGTCTCCGCGAAAGAGTATTCAACACCAAATTGGGTCAGCGTAAATGTGTCTATTGCGATGCAAAGGATCACAAATCAGCTGACTGCTCAAAGGTAAAAGATATAAACGAAAGAAAACAAATATTGGCAAAAAAGCGCCGCTGTTTCAACTGTACCGGAGAAAGGCATAGATCAGCAGATTGTACTAGTAAAATAACCTGTCAACATTGCGAGAGAAGACATACTTCTTTGTGTGAACAAGCAATGGGGAAGCAGACCCTGATGACCGCAACAAAAACCAATGAAGGAGTCTTTCCAGTCTTGACAGTGAAAGTTAATGGGATCATGTGTAGAGCATTAGTTGATTCTGGAGCTGGCAGCTCATATGCATCTGCAAAGTTGGTAAGTGTCCTTGGCATAAAACCTGTTGATATAACAACCAAACAAGTGGACATGCCCTGAGTAGTAGCGTAAACGTCTGGAGACCTATGTAACTAAAGTGGAGTCCCTCGATGGAGAGTTTGGTATGGAAGTAGATTTAATAAAAGTGGAAAAAAGTGAACTTTTATCAGTAAAAAACCCCCAATACAGCCATATGATTTCCAAATACTCACACTTAAAAGGGGTTGATATCCAAGATGGTGACACGAAGGCTCAGCTTCCAGTACATGTTGTTCTTGGGGGAGGGGAGTATGCCAGAATAAAAACAAAGAATCGTCCCCGAATAGGCAAAGATGGCGAACCTATCGCGGAGTCGACCAAGCTGGGATAGTTCGTGATGTCCCTGGAAAGGAATTTGATCACAATCATATGTTACTAACACAAACCACTCAAAAGGATTATACGAAGTTGTGCCGGTTAGATGTTTTAGGACTTGCCGACACCTTAGAACACGATCAAATCTCAGTGTATGGAGAGTTTAAGGAACAATTGGTCAGGAGTTCAGAAGGTTAGTAAGAGTCTGGTCTACTGTGGCGAGGTAACCATCCTCCCTTACCATCCTACAAAGAAGGAAGTTTGCGACGGCTCAACAGTCTTGTAAAGAGATTAGACAGGGAAGAAATGGCCAGTGAGTATAACAGGATTATTGAGGAACAAGTCAGCAAAGGGGTAGTTGAACTTGTAACCGAGCCCCCAGTGGGTAGGGAGCTCTACTTACCTCATAAACGCGTGATACGTGAAGCTGCACAAACAACGAAAATCCATGTAGTTTACGATGCATCCGCTCGAGCGACTCCAAGTGCTCCATCCTTGAATGATTGCCTTTACCCAGGCCCGCCGTTACAGAATAAGCTTTGGAGCGTATTGGTTCATCATCGCTCATTTCCAGTTGCACTTTGTGGAGATATAGAAAAGGCATTCCTCCAGATCTGAATAAAAGAACAAGAAAGAGATGACTTACGGTTTCACTGGAAGAGTGACAGTCAACCTGAACCCTTGACATATAGATTCACGAGAGTCGTCTTTGGCCTAACTTGCTTTCCATTTCAGCTTTGAGTAGTGCTAGAGCATCACCTAGAAACTTGGAAAAAGAAGATGCCAGATATCGTTGAGGAACTGAAGAAATCTATGTATGTAGACGATCTGCTTAACGGGGGACAAACAGTAGACGTAGCCAAGGAAAGAAAAAGGAAATCAATCGATGTATTCAACGACGCCAATTTCAGTTTGCATAAGTGGAACTCAAGTGCCCCTGAGCTTGAAGCAGATGAAGAAGAAAAGGATGATGAAGAAGAAACTTTAGCAAAACAATAACTTGGAACAAAATCTGGAGAATCTAAAGTGCTGGGACTGATATGGAAAAAGAAAGGTGACGAGATTTCCATAGTGATCCCATCAGAGAAATCGGCAAAAACGAAACGAGAAGTACTGAGTAGATTGGCTCAGGTTTATGACCCTTTGGGAATTACATCACCCTTAATTCTAGAGGGAAAGATAATTTATCGTGATATCTGTAAGGAGAAGCCTTTGTGGATGTACAGCTAAGCCATTCTTTGATATATCGATGGGACTGCTAGGAGAGCAATCTTCCGTGTGAAGTAAGTGTTCCGCGATCATTAGCTGGGTTCCAAGAACCAATCAAGTCTTTAGAGCTGCATGCATTCGGGGATGCTAGCACACAAGGCGTAGGAGCTGCAGTGTACTCAGTTATTCATCAAGAATCGGGAATTACTCAAATTCTAGTTGCTGGTAAAAGTCGTCTGGCAAAAGAAGACCTAACTGTTCCACGGCTAGAACTTGTGTCAGCCCACATGGCAACGAACCTTCTTGTGAATGTGCGAAACGCTTTGGATCATTCATCGCGGCCGCAAAGTTTTGCATGGCTAGACAGCACTGTCGCCTTGCATTGGATACTGGACGTGGCCAGTATAAGCAGTTTGTCTCAAACCGTGTCCGTAAGATACACCAACATCCTGAAATAAAATGGCGATATGTGCCCACATCCGAAAATCCAGCAGATTTGGCCAGCAGGGGTGGGAAATTAAATCAGACGTGGCTCTACGGTCCAGAATGGTTATCTGATATGAGCAGATGGCCAAGTAATATAACCACAACTCCAACTATTGCAACAGAAGCAGAAGCGACAGTCTCCCAAAAAAGTATCGCAATGACAACAAAACAGTACAGTGGTGATGTTCTGGAACAGTTATTAAGAAAATGCTCACTTAAACGAGCTCTAAGAGTGTCGTCATGGCTTTTCAGATTCGTAAACAATTGTACACAAGGGGAAAAGAGAACAGGACCATTATCCTTTACCGAGATTGAAGAGGCTAAGATGAAATTTGTGAAACAAGCCCAAAAGCAAGTTCAATTACAACCAAAGTACGAGCAACAATGCAAAGAACTTAGTCTTACGCGCAATACAGAAGGGATTTTAGAATGTCGTGGCCGAATTGTGGGTCGGTATCCTATCTACCTTCCCACAGATTCCTTGCTGGCTCAAAGAGTAGTGGAAAA